ATGACAACCCACCCAAAACGACCCTTTTTTCTGAACACACCCTATTTCGCTTTTCACTTTCCGGCTTTTCACTTCTACGCTTTTACGCTTCCTCGCTCGGCTTCGCCCAGCCTCACTTCACCTCACTCGGCCTCACTTCACTTCTCACTTTTCCTCACTTTTACGCTAACTGGATATCTTCCTGGCACAGCAGGTCAGACTATGTAAGGGGCGGCTAGGGTGCAATAACCAACAAACCGTTAGTAACCGAATAGGTACCTAGACTAGAGTATGCAATGAGCAATCATATCCCAGCCCCAAACCAGCAACTTTACCACTGAAACGCCCCGACTTAGCTAGCTACTCTGGGTGGGCCGCCGTCGTCACAGGTGCTAGGCGGGTGAGCCAGCCGAGAAACCAAGTGGCAACGCCAGCGCCTTTTCTGCGCTAAATTTGCGCATCTAGAACAAAAGGAATCAAAAAGCGCGATATAAGCGAAGGAAAGGCACTGGTGTTTTATGGGGAGAGACCCTCCTTGTCGCGCATGTCGTCGGGTCGTCCAGCTCCATAATGCCGGGTTTACGATGGAGCTTTTTCGGAACAGAACGAAATTTGTGCGGAACGGAACGAATCCCGTTTGCTTATTCCTTATGGGCGTGTTTATGTTGCCGTTTTGACGGAACGGAACGAAATCTTAGGCCGGAACAGAACGACGGGTTCCCATTTTGATGGGAAGGAGCGGGAACAGAACGAAGTTTTCCGGAACGGAACGAAGGGTCAGCCAATGAGGAAGCGTCCCTGCGATACGGAACACACTTTCGTTCGGTTCCGTCACTGAAACATCATAAACACCCTTCGTTCCGTACCCGAAAATTTTGTTCTGTTCCGCTAAAATCTCGTTCTGTTCCGAAATCACCAACTCCATCGTAAACCCGCCATAACCTGTGGTCCAGGATGACGTCACGACAGTTGCATTCGCTTCTCCGCCCAGCCGCAGCAGTCTAGCCAGCCGGATCACACCCCACTCACCACCCATCTTCATCTCGCCTCCGACGCGGGATTCTCCGGTCAGCGGCTGCGTGGACTAGCGAGGTGACTCTATCGACTTGGTAGTCCAACTTGGAATCAACCTGTTACCGTGAGTACGACTGGACGCCCTTCTTCTCAATACAAGCTGTAGGCAAATAAAGTGAACGGTATCAGTTTGGAAGCAGCGTGGCTGTAGGAGCACAGATGAGGTTAGGAGATCCCACCGCCTGTTTAGATCATTCAGAACGGAACCGTGTCTTGTTCACGGAAGGAACGCGTTTGTTCTCCCAACAACG